TTCCCCGCCCGTCGCTAGCGGCGGCCGCTGCCCGTCTTCCAGAGGCGCGGGGGCCCGATCTCCGAGCCCTCTGCCCCCTCGGCTGCTAGGGGACCGAGCAGCTGCGCAGCCGGCGGCGCTCTTGGCTGTGGGGGCCTCGCGGAGCACGTCGGAGGAGAACGACATGGACAAAGCCATCAAGGTAAGGGGGAAATGTCACCTGCTCTCCCGCTTTGTCCTGCCTCGTTCCTCCCAGGTACGGCCTCCCAAAGCAAGAAAAATGGGGCCGAGGGGTTCCAGCACACCTGGATTTCGTCCTCCCCGGGGTTCCAAGGGACTGCTTTCGAAGGGGTGTGTGTGCGTGTGTGTGTGTGTGTGTGTAGAGAAAAGCAAATACATGTGTTCAAAATGACCCAAATAAAATGACGTCTTCTAAAACCTGTTTTTAACTCTGAACAAATGTTACACAGTGTCAGTTACCTAGCTTAACTGTAGCTGCAAAATTAGAATTATGTATGCTCAACACTGAGGTTTACCGTTTGATGTATTAATTACTTATTTTACAGTGTTACATGAACCCACTGTATTTAAGAATTTCATTTTTCCTTGAGGGACAAGCACCTATTGGCAGCTTGGGTTTATTTTCTCCTTCAAGATACTTAACTGTACAGTCATTATGATGAATAACTATTTAAGAACTTACAATTATAGCAGTTTTTGAGGTGGTGTATGTAGTTACAGAAACCATTAGTCATTCCAAAGAAACTTAGCATTTTAAAGTTGGCACCAACATAAAACGTACACGTTAGGAAGGGTTTTTTTGTGTGTTTGTCAGTGCTGGGGGTTGAACCAGGGTCTTGCACATTCCAGGTAAGCCCTCTCTATCAGTAAGCCACATTCCCAGTAGAAAGATCAAGTTTTAAATAATAATTATAAAGGTTCTTTGGTATACACATTTTTTCCTTTTCAGATTTTATTATAATCTGCTGCTTGAAGTTACATGACTGTGTCGTGAGGCAAAGCTTAAGTGGCAGATTTTAAGTTCAGGTATCTGGTTCATGACAGGTGACCTCTTAGGTAGAAGTGGTGAGAGTGAGAGATGGTGGAATTAGGTAATAAACATCGACAGGTGGTTATAAATAAATACAGAAATATACAAAAATAGTAGTATTTTAACTAGGGTAGTTAGGGAAGTTCTAAGGAGGGGACATTTTTGTAGGGCTGTGAGGGATAAGAGGGAGCAAGCCACCACTGCCTCAAGAATTTTGCTGGCAGTGGGCAGTTTTAAAAGCTCTGAAAACAAAGCAAGCCCAGTGTGATGTAGGAACAGCAAGATGGTTAGAATGCAGTGGGTCAGGGTAGGTAACAGTAAAGAGAAGGAAAGGGAAACAGCATCTAGGAACTTGTAGGCCATTAGAAGAGGGAGTATGCGAGAGCTGGGCAGAAGAGGGACATAATTACAAGTGGAGAAGAATACAGATCAGGAGGCAGTGGTAATGGTTAACAGTTTCTCAGAGAACTCATGCGTTTGAAATTTCAGCCTTAGCTGGGCATGGTGGCACACACCTGCAATCCTAGCACTCTGGAGGCTGAGGCAGGAGGATCACCACAAGTTGGAGGCCAGCCTGGGCTACATAGTGAGTTCAAAGGCAGCCTGAACTGCATACTGAGACCCTGTCTCAAAACAAAACAAAACAAAACAACTCAGCCTTGCCATTTATTCTGTGTGTCCTTATGCAAATTACTTCACTTCTCTGTTCCTTAGTTTGCTATCTGTAGAAGGAGATAAGAGGACTCCCCTGGTCAAAGGAATTTAAATTTGGGGGGGGGCGCTTTTTGAGACAGGGTTTCACTATGCAGTTCAGGCTGGCTTTGAGCTCGCTTTGTCACGCTTTGTCACACACTATGGCCTCCAACTTGCAGTGATCCTTTTGCCTCAGCCTCCCAAGTGCTGGGATTACAGGCATATACCACCACACCCAGCTACATAATTGATTTTCTGATGTGCTTAGACAAATGTACTTAAATGTGTGTAGTCTTGTTTAATCTTTCCTCAATTGATGGGCATTTAGATTTCTACTTTTTAGGTGTTATGAATAAAGTGATAAAGATAAACTCTCAGCTTTTATAGGTAAATGGTCACAACTAGAGACCATACTCATAAGTGAAATAAATCAGACATACATGTGCAAGCACCGCATTGTTTCACTAGTGTAAAACCTGAAAGAGTTAATTTAAACTAGGAGGTATGACAGACATTGTGAAATGATAGGAAAACAGTCAAGGGTAGAGGGCAATTGGGATGTGGGAAAAGTGAAGGGAAAGGAGAAATTTTATATGTATGTATATACAGGATAGTTAACATAGTTGTTCTACTGTCTTCTATTTCTTTGCTGAAAGAAACTGTCAATGAGTCCTTGATTGAGCAGCATTGCGTGTCTCCATCTCTTTTCATGAGAAACCACTTTGAAGGTATCAATATGTAATACAACAAGCATTGTTAATTTCCTACCACTTGGTTTGTAACTCTGTATTGTCTGTACTGTTCTTTTGCTATTTTGTAAAAGGTTGTCTGTTAATGTTTTCCTCCTTTTATTTTTAAAATAAAAAAAATGAATAAAGTGATAAAACTACAAATTTGGGGGTGAATACCTTTTAATTTCTTCTGAGTAGATACCTAGGTGTGGAATTACTGGTAGTATGGTAAATTTATGTTTAATTGTTTTAAGAAATTGCCTAACTTTTCTAGAGTGGTTGTGCCATTATTGCACTGGGGGTGTTTGAGGGTTCTAATTCTACTTTTTTCCTAATTCTGTTATTGTCACAAATATTTAGCATTGTCAATTTTCTATTTCAACCATGCTGGTGGGTGTGTAGTGGAATCTCATTGTGTTTTGTTTTTGAGACAGGGTCTCACTATGCAGTTGAGGCTGGCCTTGAACTCACTAGGTGTCTCAAACTCACAGAGATCATCCTGCTTCAGCTCCCTGAGTACTGGGATTACAGGCGTGCACCACTACTCCTGGCCTCAGTGTGGTTTTAATTTTCATTTCTGAAATGACTAATACTGTTGGCCATCTTTTCGTGTGCTTATTTGCCATTTGTGTATTTTTTCGGGTGAAAGATCTATTCAAGTCTTGTGCATTTTCAAATCAGACTGTCTTAGCGAGTTATAAGAGTTACTTATTTTATCCATCGTGTGTGACAAAGCATGACAAAGCGAGCTCAAAGCCAGCCTGAACTGCATAGTGAAACCCTGTCTCAAAAAAGCTCCCCCCACAAAAAAAATTTAAATTCCTTTGACCAGGGGAGTCCTCTTATCTCCTTTCACAGATAGCAAACTAAGGAACAGAGAAGTGAAGTAATTTGCATAAGGACACACAGAATAAATGGCAAGGCTGAGGTTTTTTTTTTTTTTTTTTTTGATAAAAATAATAAAAGGGCATCTTTTTATGTCATTCTGAATTTTTTTTTACTAGCAAACTATATTCAGATGTTTTGTCTTTTTTTTTTTTCTTTCTTTTTTTTTTTTCTTTTTTTTTTTTAGGCAGGGTCTTGCTACATAGTGCAGACTGGCCTTGAACACACTGTGTACCCAGGCTGACCTTGAACTCAAGGCAATCCTCTTGCCTCAGCCTCCTAAGTACTGGGAGATGGGTTGCCTTTACTGAATTTCAAGAGTTCTTTGTAAACTCTGAATAAAAGTCATTTAACAGAGACATGATTGGCAGATACATCCGTGGCTTGTGCTACCACTTTTTTGGTTTTTTGAGACTGATCTTCCAATATTCCTACCTTAGCCTTGTCTAGCTGTGTTACCAGTTTTTTTGTTTTTTTGTTTTTTTCAGTACTGGAGATTGAGTCCAGGCCTTTCCATTCTACATCCCCTACCCTTTTTATCTTTTATTTTGAGATAAGGTCTTGCTAAATTGCCCAGGTGGTACTCTAACCTGGAATCTTCCTGCCTCAGCCTCCTTCCCAGGTTCTGGGGTTACAAATGTGTGCCAATTCACTGGGCTATGTTACCACATTTTTTGGTGGGGGTTTTTACCTGGAGTCGAACTCAGGACCTTCTACTTGCCAGGCAGGTGCTGCACCATTGAGCTAAATCTCTGGCCCCTGTTACCACTTTTATTTTATTTATTTTTGTCTTTTTGAGAGAGGGCCTTGCTGTACAGTTCAGGTCGGCCGTGAGCTCACTTTGTAGCTCAGGCTGGTCTCAAACTCGCAAGGATCCTCCAGCCTCAGCCTCCCTAGTGCTGGGATTACAGGCGTGCACCACCACGCCCCGGGCTATTACCACTTTTAATGTTGTCTTTTGAAGAGCAAATTTTGATGAATTTCTCTAGCATATTTTCTTTTATGCACTTCTTTTGTGCACTTATCACATGGGTATACAAGATTTTCTAGGAAATCTTTGCTTAGTCCAAGGTCACTAGATCTCTCTCTTCTCTGTCTGCCTGATCTTGCTCCCTGCTGTGTATTGAACCCAGGTTTTCGTGCAAGCTAGGTAAACACTTTGTCACTGAGCTATATGTATAGCTCTATCTTCCAGCTTTTTTTTTTAAAAAAACATGAATATCTGGTTGTTCCAGGACAGTTAAAAGACTGTCTTTTGCACATTGAATTAGTTTGGCATTTTTGCTGACAATTTATTATAAGTGTGTAAAGTTATTTTTGGGTTCTCAGTTCTATTTCACTGATCAATATGATTGTCCTGCCAATACCACATTTGATTACTGAAAACATTATAGCAAGTTTTCAAATTGGGTAGTGTGAGAAGCAGTTTGACATTATTTTCAAAACTGTAGGCTATTGGAGTTTTTTGTATTTTCAAATAAGTCAATTTCTCCCAAAAAGTCCAGTGGGCTAGGTGTGGTGGTGCACACCTGTACTCCCAGGAACTTGGGAAGCTGAAGCAAGAGGACTACAAATTCGAGACTAGCCTGGGTAATTTGGTGATACCCTATCTCAAGAAATGGGGCTATGGGGCTGAGGATTTAGCTCAGTGGCACAGCGGCTGCCTGGCAAGCGCAAGGTTGTGAGTTCAATTCCTGGTACCGGAACCCCCCCCCCCCCAAAAAAAAGAAATGGGGCTAAAGATGTAGCTCATTAGTATAGCATCCCTGGATTCCATTTTCAGTACTGCTAGAACAAAACAAGCAAGCAAAACCTGTGCTGGGATCTGATGGAGATGACACTGAATTTATGGGTCAGTTTGGGGACAGTTGCCATTTTAACAATATTGTCTTAGTGCATCTTTGAGGATCTGTAGGGAAGATACTCAATCAAAATGAAGTAAAACTGGGCTAGGTGTGTTGCTCAATGATAAAGCACTTGCCTGGCATGTGTAAGGCCCTGGGTTCAATCCCCAGCACAATAAATAAATCCAGTAAATATTAAATGTTTCTTTGGTGCAATAGGTATATTTTCTGACATTCCCAAAAGAATGATCACATATATGCTGCTGTTCTATAAAGGCCTATATCCTTGAATATGGTATTCAAGTTATGGGGATGTGAAAACAAGTTGTTTTACAGTTCCTAATTGGGGAATCATTTTCTCTTCCTTATTTTAATAGGAAACCTCCATTTTAGAAGAATACAATATCAACTGGACTCAGAAGCTGGGAGCTGGAATTAGTGGTCCAGTTAGGTAAGAGACCCATGTGAGAACTGTAACAAAATTGCTCTGAGAAGGGCCATTGGAAATATATTTTGAATTAGAAGGATCGGTTGTGCCACATTTGAGAAAGCTGTAATTTAACAAATAGAACATTTTTGTTTGTTTTTGGGGTTTTGGTGTTGAGAATTGAACCCAGGGCCTCATGCTTTCTAAGCACATGCTCTCCCACTGAATTACATACCCCTGGTTCCTACTAGAGGTTTTTATGTTAGTTTTTTTTTTTTTTCCAGCTTTTTTGTTATACATCTGTAAACATAGCTAAGTGACCAAGTCATATGGTCTATAATAGGGACTCATTTAAGATGTCGAGACTGTGAGGCTACTGTGAGAGTCTTCTTTAGCCAGTAGAGGCTGTTTCTTCATTGGCTTGTTGTGAGTTCATGTCACCTACTCAGGAGCCGAGACCTGAGCATGGACAGCTGGGAAGAGGAGTGAGATGCTTCTCTGCCTTACCATCTGCTGCCCAAGGGGCAGGTTTGTTCTGTTGCACCTGTATATCTTTGATTAGAAATATAATCTCAAAGAACAGACTCCTGCAATTAATTTTCACTCTAACATAGATGATTGCTGATTAATTTTTTCCCTCCAAATCTAGAGTCTGTGTAAAGAAATCTACCCAAGAACGGTTTGCACTGAAAATTCTTCTTGATCGTCCAAAAGCTAGAAATGAGGTACTGTTCTTTATTGCCTTGTCTTGCCTAAATATTTGATGTGCCTAAAACTTGTTCTTCTTACAGTTAAGGCAGATTCCTGGGGAGAATACTGAGATGTATAAAGAATTTTGTTCACATAGTTTCCCTTGTCTGTATTCATGTTTTTGTTGTAGTAGTCCTAGATCTGGCAGCATGGAGGAAGTCATTAGTAGGGTCTTGTTTCCTGTCTTGGACTCTGCAGTATTCAGACTTACTTTTGTTTTTGCTTACTGAAAATGGTGCCCAAAGGGTAGAGATAAAATATGACCCAGTATTTTAGGGGGGCCCAGATGAGTGTTGTTTATAAAGTGATGGTGGGCCAGGGATATAGCTCAGTGGCACAAGTGCCTGCCTGGCAAGCACAAGGTCCTGAGTTCAATTCCTGGTCCCAAAATGAAAGTGATGTGCAGGAGGACTCTTTTTTTGTTTTTGTTTGTTTGTTTGTTTTTGTTTTTTTTCCAGTATCGGGAATCAAACTCACGACCTTGCGCTTGCCAGGCAGGTGCTGTGCCGCTGAGCTAACTCCCCAGCCCAGGAGGACTCTTTAAGGATGTATTTCTAGTTTGTTTTTTTTTTTTTTTTTTTTTTTTAAAGAGTAAAAGGATAACATAATAATGGGGGGGTTTACCAAATTACAGACAAAATGGTAGGAAATTATCAATGGTTATTGTTTTACATATTGTTATCTACAAGATAGTTTCTCAGGACAACAAATAAGAGTGAGTTCAAGACAAAAGAGACAGGAGATTATCAATAGTTGTACTATACTTTGGTATCTTCAAAGTGGCTTCTAAAGAAAATAAATAGAGCTATATATGAGTGACCTATTGAATAATCATTGACTATTCTCAATGGTTGTTGTACGAAACACATAATAATAAACATGTATCCATTTATGAAATAGGGTAGAACAGTACAATGTTATAGGAAACACATAATAATAAACATGTATCCATTTATGAAATAATGGATGTATACATATGAAATAATGGATGTATACAAATAATGTAATACAAACATTACAGAGTTATGGACAGATTAGTAGGAAAATATCAATAGCTGCTGTAATACATGGTGGTATCTTCAAAGTGGTTTCTCAGGAAGGCAGAGATACGCAAGAAGGATCTAACAAGTAGTTATAGCCTAAAGATTGTCAAAAATAGCATATTACCTCCTCAGTGACTCCTGTCACTGAGGTGTGACAGCTGGAAGGCAGGCCAGGATTGAAAAGAAGGACCCAGAGACTTGCACCTATGTCTAGCAACAGGCTGTTTTCTTGATATGTTTCTAGTTTTTAAAAATATACATTGTTTTAAAATTATCTGGATGGGGTAATAACATGCTATTAACATGTGCAGTAAAGGACTTGCTCTCTTTTTTTGGAGACAGGATCTCACTGTGTAGGTTAGCCTGGCCTGATCTCAAACTCATTGTGTGTAGCCCAGGCTGGCCTTGAATGTGCGGTGATCATTCTGCCTCAGCCTCCCAAATTCTGGGATTACAGGCATGTTTCACCATGCCTGGCTGAAGGACTTACTTTGTTTAGAAGTAGAATGAGTTATTTGCCAAAATTTTCATTTGGTAATAGAACAGGATAAAGCAAATCTTTTGGGGAGGTTTTCTTTGTGGAAAAAACATCGAAGAGATAATTGGTGTATGAAAATACTGGGGTTTTTTTTATATCATTTTAGAGATGAGGTTTTTTTACTGAAGTAGACTTTTATCACTTGTACCTAGTGTGGTCACTTTTGGTGGGAAGTTTGAAAAGAAAATATTTACATCCCCTTTGCACAGAAACATTTCCTTTGTTCTCTTCAAGGTACGTCTGCACATGATGTGTGCCACACACTCAAATATAGTTCAGATTATTGAAGTGTTTGCTAACAGTGTACAATTTCCTCATGAGTCCAGTCCCAGGTAAGGCCACACAAGATCACCCTAACATGTGTATGTAGCCCAAGGTATCGCGGAGTCTTCCTCTTCCATCTTTCCCCTTCCTCTCCCTTTCCTTTCTTCGTACCCCTTCTCCCTCCTATCTTCTCTGCTTCCCCTCCCGCCTCTCTGTATTCTGGAAAATTTCAGATCTTTGTAAAAGCACAGAATTATATAAGGAATCCCCAGGTACTCACCACTCAGCCTCAACAGTTTTATCTATCCACTTGCCCAGCCCTTGATTATTTTGATTACTTTTTCACTCTATAAAAAGCATTTAATGTGGAATTTAAGTAGATTCTATCTCAGATTAGTCAAGGGGGCCCAGTGTTATTCTAGGCAAAGTCTCAGAGGCTGATATAGTAAAAAGGCTCTGTTGCTGTCTGACTTTGCTGTGAAAGGAAGAAATTATTATTCTTTTAGCTGCCAAATGTTCTGAAAGCACATGGGGTGGCAATCGGAGTCTCTGCTAGAGTATTCACTGGGAAGATTGAGTGGCAAATTCATCATCACAGCAGTGTGATAGGCGCCAAGGAGAGGCATCCATAAAATATTCTGAACTTCATAAAGGAGGGGAGCTACTAACTTGGGAGGTGAGGTGTTCCACAGAGGCTACATGAAGGAAGACTAGCCCTTGAAAGGAGGGTAGGAATTTTATAGTTAGAGGGCGAAAAAATGGAATTTTAAAAACAAACAGGAATCAGTGAGTATTTTTCACTTTGCTCTGTTGGTGAAAGCATTTGGATGGAATCTGTAAGCATTTTATCAAAGAATGGTAACCAAAATTCATGGGGTTTTTTTTTTTTGGAATGTGAGAATTTTTGTTTTTATGGAGTAGCTGCATTACGCTGGTTATGCACTTTGTAGATGAGATCTCTGTAGTTTAGTTTTTTGTATTTCAGGGTTCTTGTTTGTTTTTTTTGAACTTAACAAAATCAAATGCTTTCAAACAGGGCTCGACTCTTAATTGTAATGGAGATGATGGAAGGGGGAGAGCTATTTCACAGAATCAGCCAGCACCGGCACTTTACAGAGAAGCAAGCCAGCCAAGTAACAAAGCAGGCAAGTTAACCCCGGGTACCAATCAAACTGCCAACTACGTTGGTTAACAAGTACAATTTCATTAGGGGGAATAAAAGAAACCTTAAAGAAAAGCTCTATTTGACTTCTCATTGCCTGCTTTGTTATGTAATTAGAAAGAATGTCTTAACAGGACAAATGTCATCCCTTTTATATTTTGGAGGGAGGAGGGCTGTATTCTTAATTGATTATCAACTGTTTCCTGGTAGGATTTAAATAAATGCTGAAAAGAACATAATTTTACCTCCTTTGTTGACTCCCATATCTTTAGACATGCAGCTTCCATTCACTGTAATTGGACTTTGAGATAAAATGCTGTTGATACTACCTGAAAGATTGTATGGTACAAAAATACGTTCTGACAGTTTATATAAGATGTTTCTTGCATAAATCATTTATCATTTCTGCATATTTTAAATAATATTGCAAGAGCTTTTTAATTCTTGGGTTATTCCTAGTTATATTCTGCCTTGAATCACATTTTACTGCTCTAGAAATGATTATGTTACATTCTGTACTAGGAATCCAACTGCTGCTAACCTCTTATAAAGGTGAGAAGCTAAACCCTCAAGACCTATCTTTAGACCAAGAGAGTAGGGAGAAGCAAAACAGGAAGCACAGCCCAACTAGGTACTAATAAACTTCCAAATTTTCCTTAAGCATTTTCCAAGCATTTTTAGATGGCTCCTTCCTCATTGATTGCAGATGAGCTAATATTTGGATGGCTGAGAAAATTCCATACTGAGAGTTGAAGAACAGTAGAATCTATCCTTTTTGATTTGTTTAAATTGCATTTTTCAAATATGAGCGCTAAAGAATAAGCTCTGATAATTTTCTATAGAACAAAAACCCCTCAAGTCCACATACACAGGCAGCACTGTCAGCAAGTAAGGTGAACAAACTGGAACATCAGTTGGGAAACTCCGACCACCTGGTTTGAAGGTGGAGTCTGCCATTCAGTTCCTTAGCAAGTGCAGCTCTCTTCTGAGGCGCCTGGCAGTCCTGCTGCTGCCCTGCTGGGAAACTCACATGCCTGCTGAAGACTGCCCTGCTTAGCAGTTTCTCTTCAGTGCCTCTCACACATCAGTGAATGAAAGTGGGAGCATTTCATTTTTTTCCATTTCTTACAGAGTGTAATCGTCAGTTTATTCAAACAGAATTGTTTTACTGTCATATTTTCTTTTTGTTTAACAACTTATTTTTCTTTTTGTTTAATGCTCTATTTCTTGGTACCCCAAGTCTTTCTTAATTTCTGCTTTGAAATTGAAACTGACCAAGGTTTTGATGGACTTAATGAATTTTTTAACATTCTGAATTCTCTACAACAGGAGTATTAAAAATTGCTCTTTTCTAAGAGGGTGTTGCTCCATGTGTCCTTTTTCAGATAGCTTTGGCTCTACAGCACTGTCACTCGTTAAACATTGCACACCGAGATCTCAAGCCTGAAAATCTACTTTTCAAGGATAACTCTTTGGTGAGAAAAGTTGCTTTTCTGCATTTAGTACTATGAGCTGTACTCTTTACACAGCTCAGAAGTGGATGTGTATGTGTTTGGGATGCTCCAAGTCCATGGGGAGGAGGCTTTAGGCAAATAGTTTATTTTTTCTGCCCCTTTCCTTCCTAGAGGCTCAGAGAAACTGTACCGCACTCTTGGCATTGATAATTTTAGGTGATACTCCTGTATATTTAATGGGACTTACGCTTGTAGATATTATTTGGGGGACCTTTGGGAAGGGGTAGGAATCTACATACTGTTACATGTTATTTTGAAACAGTTTCAAGTGCAGTAACACCCAGGATTGATGAGAGGTGATGGGCCCATTGAGTGAGGGGCCAGAAGGCTAAGACCTTGATTTTGCACCTGACTTTGAGTTATAAAGCAAGGCTAAGTGAATGGGTAGAAATTCCTTTCTCCCATGTTACTAAGAACCATACTTCAACGTGAACCATTGTCTCCAGAGCTGTTGACATACTATTCATAGGCTCAGATCTCAGCCAGAAACTTGTAAGAGCTCAGAGTAGTATGTTGTGCACCTGGACTTTCCTTTTGTGTTTACTGACACCTCTGGAGCAGTGACTCCCATTTGATTTCAGGATGCTCCAGTGAAGTTGTGTGACTTTGGATTTGCTAAAATTGACCAAGGTGACTTGATGACACCCCAGTTCACCCCTTATTATGTAGCACCTCAGGTAAGCATGTGCTGTTTTTTCCCTAAAGTATATTACCAAGCTACCATTCTAGATATATGTTCTTTCTATTCTGCTATGGAAGTACGCAAGTATTACAGATGGGAGAGGGAGAACTCAGCTTAAGAAAAGTACTAATTCCTTCATTTTGTATAGATACTTCATTGTTTTAAAATTGGTTTTTATTGAGTTATGATTTAGGGGTATGATTTATATACAGAAAATACTGTAGTCTCTTCTTATGTATAGAGGACACATTCCAGGACCCCCAGTGGATGCCTGAAGTCACAGACAGTACCAAATCCTAGATGTATCGTATTTTTTCCTATACATACATACCTGTGATAAACTTTCACCTTTTCACTTAAAGAAAGAAAGTGGTTTTTTGGGGAGAGAGGTACTGAGGATTGAACCCAGGGCCTTTGCACAAATCTAAGTCATGGCTTTTTAAAAGAAGTTGTTTTTTTATTTTTAATTTGGAGGCAGCTCTTTAAGTTGTTAAGTTGCCCAAGCTGGGCTTGAACTTTTAATGCCCCTGCCTCAACCTGCAGAGGGCTGGGATTACAGATGTGCACCACTATAGCTGGTAAAGGAACCCCTTTATGGCTTTTCTTAGGCATGTCTGAATTGTCCACATCACTACTTTTATGTTTTGGGCTATTATTAAGTATAATAAAGATTATTTAAACACAAGCGGTGCATTCCTGAGATAGTCGATGTGATAACCAAGCTGGTTACTAAGTGACTAATAGGTGGGTAGCTGATGCTGTGTGGATACTCTGGACAAAGAGATGATTCAAGACCCAGGAGTGATTGAGCAGGATGGCATGAGATGGTGAAAGATTTCCTTATGCTACTCAGAATGGCACACAGTTTAAAACTAGAGAATTATTTCTGGGATTTTCCATTTAATATTTTTGACTGGTTGATGGCAAGTAATGAAATCACAGATATGTCCCTCCCCCCCAAAAAACACCTCCATAACATAGGTGAGGGAGACTACTGTATTCCTACTTCAGATGCAGTTTAATAAGGTTTGAAAAATACAGGGCCAGGGATATAGCTCAGTGGCCTGCCTGGTAAGCACAAGGTCTTGAGTTCGATTCCTGGTACCAAAAAAAAAGAAAGAAAGAAAGAAAGAAAGCAAGAAAGGAAAGAAAGGAAAGAAAGGAAAGAAAGAAAGAAAGAAAAAAAAAATAGATACGACCTCCATAGTGAAGACATAGAACACTTCTATCACTTCATAAGCTGCCTTGTCCCTTGTCCTCTCTCATGCTAACCTCTGGTCCCAGGCAACCACTGATTTAAGATGCTTTCTGTTACTATTAATTTTGCCTGTTGTCAAATTTCATAAAAATGGAATCATGGACATTCTATGTTTCATTTCTTTTGATCAGCATGTTTTAGAGATTTATCTGTGTTGCTGCAATTATTAGTCCTTTTATTACTGAATAGTAGTCCATCATATGGCCAAACAACATTTGTTCCATGAGCTAACTGATGGCTGTTTTGGGTTGTTTTCTAGTTTGGGGTATTATAAATAAAGATGCTCAGAACATTCATTTACAGAGCTTTGGAGGGCATAGTTTCTTTTCTTTTCTTTTTTTTTTTGAGATAGGGTCTCACCATGTAGTTCAGACTGGCCTTGAACTCATTGTGTGCCCAGACTGACCTCAAACTCATGGAGATCCTTCTGCCTCAGCCTGCAGAGTGCTGGGAATATAGGTGTGCACCACCATGCCCAGCTGGCCATAGTTTCTGTCTCAAAAAAAAGTGTTTTTTTCTAAAATGGTTTTACTACAAGTAGTGTTTAAGAGTTCCAGTTGCTTCACATTCTCATATCCCATGTTTGTCAGTATTTGTAATTTCATCATTCTAGTTGGTGCTTGTACTTCTTTAGGGGGACTAAAGATGTTTTCTTTTTTGTCTTCTTTATATTTCCTTTGCTGAAGTGTCTGTTTAAATCTTTTCCCTATTGTTACTATTTTTGGGTTTTTGTTTTTTCAGTTTTTTTTTTTTTGAGACAGGGACTTATTATGTAGGCTAGGCTGGCCTTCATCACAGTGATCCTGTGAATTTAGCCTCTTGGGTACTGGCATTATAGATGTACACCATCTTGTTCCATGTTTTCCCTATTTTTAAATTGCTTTGCTTTCTTATTTTTAATTTCAGAATTCTTTATATATTTTGGATGTAAGTCCCTTATCAGATATATACTTTGCAGAGATTTTCTTCCAGTCTTTGGCTTATCTTTCCATTCTTTTTTTGAATTTTCTTTTTTTATTGATATATTTTAGATACACACAACCCTAACATTCATAATAGAGATTTTGTTACTGTACATGATATATCTTCATTCTTCTATTTTCCCATTCTCCTCGCCTCCCTTTAGCCCCTCTTTTCCCCTCCTTATTTACAAAAGCTTTGTTTCTATTTTTTCCTTCTATGTTTTTTTCTTGTCCTTTCATTTTCTCATACCAGAGAAACAATGTATTTAAACATAGGTGTCTGATTTATTTCGCTTGAAAATATGGTCTCAAGGTGCATCCATTTATCTACAAATGTCTCAAGCTTGTCCTTTATGGCAGAGTAATACTCCACTGTATAAAAATACCATATCTTCTTTATCCATTCATCGGTTGATGGACATCTGGGCTGTTTCCAAGATTGTTATAAGCCGTGTCACAATAAACATGGGTGTACAGATATTGCTGTGGTATGACGCTTTTAATTCTTTAGGAAAGATACCAAAAAAGATGGAATTCTTGGGGTCTTCTATGTAGAATATTATGTCATCTGCAAATAACTATAATTTAACTTTTTCCTTTCCTATCCATATTCTGTGTCGCTCCATTTACTTTTGTCTCTTAATTTTGCTGAGGAATATTTGTATAGTTTTTAGTGTACAGGTCTTTTACAACTTTTGTTAGACTTCTTAATGTTTAATATTTTTATGGTATCGTAAATGGTATTTTTCAGGTTAGTTAATTAATTTTACTTCACTCTTCTTACGTTACAAACTATGTGGTGGCCACAGCTGGTATCAGAGTCCTCTGCATGTAGATTCTGGTGTCTTTTCCAGATGTTCAGTGATTTTCTGCTGATAGCTGTATGTCTTGGAGTGAGCACTGAAAGTAGACTTGTCAAGGTTGCCCCAGGTAGCTGTGCAGCCCCTGGCTAAAGTGAGGCATTCGTAAGTATTTGCCATCAGCAGCAGCTTCATGGGTTCAGGGGCTGAGATAGTACCAGTGGGTCTGGGAGTAGAACTCAGGGCCTCAACATCCCAGTACCTTTCAAGAAAACAGGTTGAGGTTTGCCAGGCTTGTCTTCCTCACCTCATAGTCCTGCTGCACAGGACAGTGGAGGGCTGGCCAGAATGTAGCACCACAGTCGTCAGTGGCTATCTCAGTGGAGCACTTCACACCCAAACTGATGTGATATTAGCAGTCTGCAGTCTCTGATGGTGACAGATGCTTTGTGTGACTGACAAGTATGTGTTTGCTTTGCATCGGCATAAGGAATATCCCTGGGAAAAAGCCAGTGTTCTGACTCCTTAATAGGCAGGAAAAAGAGATAAATCTCCTTTTTGGAGATAGGAGGACTTGATCTTTATTCTTGACCTGGGAGAGTCTTTCTTTGATTGATAAATTGCTAGGAAGAAAAAAGGTTTGTGAAAATAATGTGTTGATAGGGAGCTATATTTTGATTATTGATTGCCATTCCCTGTTCAGCCTTCCAGTAGTCTGTCTCAGGTTGCAGAATATTGATGGTTTGGTTTTCATTAATTGTTCTTTTTGATTTGACTCTTGGCAGGTACTGGAGGCACAGAGAAGGCATCAGAAGGAGAAATCTGGTATCATACCTACCTCGCCAACACCCTACACTTACAACAAGGTATGTAAAAGATACGTAGCTTCATCTTGAGAATATAGACCCTCTCTTCTTGAGAGGTGTTTATAGTCGTCTGAGAATGTGGCAGAGTGCAATCTTAATGGTTAACATTCCAGCTCGAAAGACTTGAAACAGCCAGATATGCAGAAAATTCAAGTTTTTGTCTGATAAAATGAGAAATGTTCTTATCTACTTACCTTTTAGAGGACCAAAGGGCCATGGCTACTTGTTACATTATTTATTTGGCTGACTGTACAGTCTACTGACTACACTGAAAGGATATAGCTGGCTTGCTTTTGGAAGTAGAGGCCATTTCTAAGATGCCAAATGTAAAACATTCTATGGTTATTTGTGGTACCATTCTTTCTTAACTCATAAAATACCTAACTTAAAACTGTCCTGAGGAAGAAGGATTGCAAGTTCAAGGTCAGGCTGGGCTACATAGCAAGATCCTATCTCAAAACAACAGCAACAAGACAAACACAAAAAATAAAACCTGGTGTTCACAGTGTCATATATACAGCAGTTGCTCCCAGATGTTACTTGGTACTATCATCGTTTCTTATCTGTGGGCTACATTTTGAGCATCTCTGTTTTAAAGCACAAGAGTTTTAGGGTTTAGGGCCTCTGGAAACAGGTCCTGGAGATCAGAAAAAATGATGCCCCTTGGGGACCTGGGGCGATACGGATGACAGAGAAGGAGCTGAGGATGGTAAACGGGATAGGGCACCTGCTTTGGCTCCACTGCTTTTCTTTGTCTTTTTTCTTAGTCCACGTCTGCAGCACATACTCTTAACAGTCTTTGTGTGGAGTGGTACATGTATGGAATACACCTCAATTCTTGTTTTTATCCTTTTCCCTCCTCCTCTTTCTTTTATGTGGTACTAAGGATCAAACCCAAGGCCTTTGCCCTATATCCCCAGCCCCTTTAAAATTTTTTTAAGATTTTAAGGTGGTGTCTTGCTAAGTTGTCCAGGCCTGGCTTGAACTGAAATCTTCCTGCTTCAGCTCCCAGGGTGCTGGGGTTGCAGGCATGATGCACTATGCCTGGCTTGATTTTGGTCATTTTAAAGAACATTTTCACCTCTAATTTTATAATAACATGCATGCATCATAGTGTCCACATTCACTGGGGTGATGTCGAAACACAGGTGAGAGTGCAGGAGACACCCATTTTCAGGCTTTCTGAGAAGCACACAGCTGTGGTTGAGGAGTATCATGTTGTCCCAGTAGTAGGCTCACTAGGGAGCCCTTCTCAGGCAGACGCCTCTCCTGTCCCACAATTAAGATCCCCTTTCCAAGGCAGATAGAGCTACATGGAGCTAAAATAGGAATCCTTTCTTTATTATCATGCAGTGAATACAGCCATAAGTCACCTTAATATCTGTTGACATGGTAGGTGGTGGAATTTCCTTTGTTTTGTAACATCTTCCCTTAGTGACATAAGGATCTGCAAATGGGCTGAGTCCCTCATGGCCAAAGGACAGTTTTTAGATAGCTCGTTTTTCCTTTCATTGCCTCTCCCCACTCTGTGTCAAACTTCTTTGAGCCTTTTCAGAGTGGCTTGTGCTGTGTTATGGGGTCAAGCTATATGTCTTAGCTGCTTTTTTCCTGAACCTCAACCCTACCTAGGTTGACACAATACATGTTTCACAGCCAGCTGTTTTATATTGTTTCTTCTCTGGCTGGGAGCACAGTATCCTACACCTATACCCAAGGATCAGATATGAGTTTGGGTGGTGATGTGCATATATACAGTGTTGGTGTTATATAAAAAATATGAAGAGCCAGAGATGGTGGAGCACACCTATAATTGCAGCCCTTGGGAGACTGAGGCAGGAGGACTGCCACAAGTTTGAGGATAGCCTGGGCTAAATTGTAGGTTGAAGGCCTACCTGGTCTATACAGCGAGACCCTGTCTCAGAAAGAGAGAGGGATGGAGGGAGGGAAGGAAAGAAAGAAAGAAAATAAAAGAAGAAGGAAGGAAGGGAGGGAAGAGAAGAGAATGCCAAGCACAGTACTGTATGCCTATAATCTGTCTCAGCTACTTAGGAGCCTGAAGCAGGAGGATTGCAAGTTTGTCACCAGCCTGGACAACTTAGGCTGTGTCTCAGAATAAACAAAGGATATAGCTGAGGGATGTCCTGCTTCAATACCCACTACCTCCAAAAAAGAGAAAGGTTAGGTCTCCTAAGATGTCATGAAACCGTTGTAACTCTGCTAAGTGATTTTGGAGGTGTCAGCCTGTGTATGTTAGGGTTACTCCTGAGCTGTATTTTGAGGGACTGGCTCTGCTGTGAGTAACCATTTCCTTTTTTGTTTTTAGAGCTGTGACTTATGGTCCCTAGGGGTGATTATCTATGTGATGCTGTGTGGATATCCTCCTTTTTATTCCAAACATCATAGCCGGACTATCCCAAAGGACATGCGGAGAAAGATTATGACAGGCAGTTTCGAGTTCCCAGAAGAAGAATGGAGCCAGATCTCAGAGATGGCCAAAGATGTTGTGAGGAAGTAAGTCCCTGGGCTGCTGGGTGGGGAGGCTGAGAAAGCCTCATGGTGGCAGGGCCCCAGGAAACGCTGGGTAAAGAGAAGTCATTTGTTATTTTGGTTAGGATTCTTGTTGTATTATCACAGAATTTTTATCCCTTTTACCCAAGGTAAGAGTTCTGAGTGTCCATGCCTCAGGGAAGGTGGCACTTTTCTTTCTCCTGTTGTACCCCTGGACTTGTGTTCTTGAAATTACGAACCCAGGTCCCTCTGTAGCCAGTCTCTGTGGGTACTAACTTAGTACCTTAGGTGGCAAACCTCCCGATGTGGCTGTCTTCTCGCATGTAGGCCAGTCAGTGGGAGAGGGATCTGATTCCAGGAACTGAACTGAGGTGCTAAGATGACGGTGACGTGTTTGGCTTTTCTTTTCTTGGGTGCCGTCATAGTGTGTGTATATCAGGTCTGGAGCCCACTCTCCAGGCTTCCCAGTGAGAGTTGGTTGCTCTGATACATATGATTAAACTGGGAAGATTTAGTTAAGAATTTGAGCTAGTGAATGGGTGAGACAGAGTTGCAGAGACTTTCGGTATTGGGAATATTAAAGAAAGCGCTACTGAACTTGGGATATATTTAATTTTTCTGCCTATGCAAGTTGGGCACTGTTATTTTATTCATACTGGTTGAATTCACTGACTAGTATCTCCTTTGTTGGTCTGTAAAGCATTAAAGGGACAGTACTCAGAAGCTGTCTTCTAATAGTGCAGCAATTTCTCTGTGGAGTTTACTCCCTTTCAAAAGTGAGCTTGTCCTGTTAGGGAACACTGGGGACTAAAAATAAGGATGATTCTAAAATAAATTAATAAAATTTTTTTAGGAGAGTGGGGACACTGTTTGAATTCCCATCTGTCTTGACATTCTATTTCCATGCTATATGTCTAACTCTTTAACCAAATCTTTAATGTCTTCTCTGATTCTTTGCCAGTTTTCTGTAGAATATATTTCCTATCCATAGAGCAACACTCATTATCTTCTTTTGACTTTGGAACTCTTTTCTGAATAATCCTTGTTTTAGAAATTTGAAGCTGTTTGTTCAGAATGATCTAGAAGTTTGCACAATAGCGCAAAGGGCAGTTAGGCTTGTGATCCTCACTCTGACACTTGGAATGGGAGGATATGTAGTTAGAAGGAGATGGTGCTGCAGAGAGCTCAGGAAATATACATGGTAAGGTGAGTTAGGAATTGTGTTCACATGAATAGACAAGAAGTAAAAAAAGTTTTACCAAAAAGCAAATGATAAAGAAACAGTACGTTAGGCTTAGAAGAAATGTCAACTCCTTCTCAAAGAGTTGACTTTTAGTTTTTGAATGTTTGCAGTAAAGGAAGGCACATGTCTTGCCACATGATGATATGACCCCTCAACTGATTTTGCCTTCAGTATTAACCAAGAGTACTTTTGAGTTCTTTTGTAAGTTAGGACCCATTGTTTTAGAAATCTCAATATGGAGATTCAAGGTCTCAGGAATTATAAACCATATAAGACTACCTTAGTGAACCCTAGAACCCAGTTTGAAGTATCACTGGATTAAGCCTTTTTTGTACCATATTTAGTCTCTGTCTAGTACAGAGTGGACCCCCTCAAGACACAGTATCTCACAACAAAGGGTTAGGGTGTAGAATCCCATTTCTGCCCTGCAGGGAGAAGGTGTAGGCCTGTGGGAATTGGTACAGTCAGAAGAAGCTTTAAAAAAAAGTAATGAAGCTAGAGCTGGTGAGAGCCACACCCTGGAATTCCTTGTGCTTCCTTGTGGCGCATCTGGGCACAGCAGCCTGTTTTTTTCTTCACAGGCTCCTGAAGGTCAAACCTGAGGAAAGACTCACCATTGAGGGAGTGTTGGACCACCCTTGGCTCAACTCTACCGAGGCCCTTGATAATGTGCTGCCCTCTGCTCAACTGATGATGGATAAGGTTTTGAAATACTTATTTTGTTGGCTGTAAAGGCAGTGTTGAGAAGGAAAGTTGGGGCTTGACTCAGTATGAGGTTAAAGGCAAAACAGTGGAGAGCACACTGTCTTTCTCAGAGGAATAGCTCTGGTTTCCTGAAAATCAGGAAAGACCCTTTTTCCATAAAAAGCTGCATCCAAGTCTGGTAAATGTGCACTACTGGAACACTCAAAGGAGTACCCTCCATGTTCATGCTGTGGTTTGAGGGTCACGGGGCAGAAGGACAGTCTTCAAGGGGCTTACACAAAACTGATTAGGAACTTGATAAGGCCCGGACACACAAAGAGGAAACATTTCAGACATCAGAAACTTTACAGATTAAATTTTCTGTGAATGTTATGGGAATTCAGAAAATGAAACCTCCAACGGGGGTGTTATTTGTCCCCCGAGAAGGCAGAAACCCTCATACTTACTATCTACTGTGTAGCAGCCTCCGAGCTCTTTCGCAGGTTCAGGCATGAGCTGTCCTAGAGGAATTTCAGTAGACAGTGCAGGTGCCCCTGTGAAATGAAGGACATGAGAAAAAATAGAGACTAATGAGTACATAATGAAGCAACGTCTGAATATGCAGTCTTCCTAAAGACAGGGTGGTGCCTAGGCCTAGAGGAGGGCCCTGTAATGTGACCGAGCATTCTCATTTCTAAAGAAATCATGTGGTCAGGATATTAGTAGAAAAATGGCTTTATATACAGATGTTGAGTAACATCCGTCTAAGCCCTCCCTAGGATCCTGAGCTCATGACCTATTTCCTTCTTTTTGGTTGTGCCATTAGTAATGAGGCAATAGATGGGAGAATGTACTAGGACTGGCTGTGAATACACAGGGCTCTTCAGTGAGCCTGGACTATTCCTGATCTGACTGCAAGCTCACTAAGGAACTCACTACTTTTTAAAGTTGTTAAAAAAGTTCACTACTTTTTTTTTTTTGAAATGGGCTCGCTCTGTAGTTCAGGCTGGCCTTGAACTACCAACAGTCTTCCTGCCTCAGCCTCTCAAGTACTGCGATTACACGGGTGCACGACCACATTTGGCTTCACTACTTTTTAAAATTGTCAAATTTTGTTGTTAGAATTAAGATAAAATAGAAGTATTAAAATAAAAATCAAATTCATTCTGCAGTCTTAACCCATCAGAGGTGAGCTGTGGCTTTATGTATCTGTCCTGGTATGTGCTCACAGTTGGAAAAGGGGAATATCTCATTCCTGCAAAACAGCTTGCTGCTTATTTGGCTTTCTATCTTGGTCTGACTGTGGTGAGAACACACATTGGTTATAAAGGTACAGACTTAAATAGTTCCAGACTCCATGACCATTATGTCCCATTATAAATTAATTGACTGGCCTATCCTTTGGGATGTAGTCTTAGTTCATGAGGGTCTGCCCTTTGGGTTTGGCCAGGATCAGAGTTCTGAACTATCCAGGTTGAGGAGACTGTGTCAACTCTGGGGGCAGTGAATAAAATGGCAGTCTGTAAAGCTTCTTGGGCAGCGGCTAGCCACTCTTTTCCCTGAGGTATTTACCCATCAGTGGCTCTGAGCGCAAGCCATGTTAGTATTTCTTACGTTTTTCTTCCCACTGCCAAGGAGGAAGGCCGAGTGGTTGTGTCACCTTTGGTTGGTCTAGTAGTCCCTGGGGCCTGGTGATTCAGGAAATCCTCTGTCCAGATTTGTATATCATTAGCATAAGAGTGAAACTGTTTTGAAAACTTTGGGCGTTTCCTTCTTACTTCTTAGATTAGGATTTTAGATACTCAGCAATGAATGTGAAAAACTGCTTACAATGTTTACATTTAGGCGGTGGTTGCAGGAATCCAGCAGGCTCATGCAGAGCAGTTGGCCAACATGAGAATACAGGACCTGAAAGTCAGCCTCAAACCCCTGCACTCAGTGAACAACCCCATTCTGAGGAAGAGGAAGTTACTCGGGTAACTGAGCTTGTTTCTTTGATTCTTCATGACTGGCGTGGTTAATTGCTGGGTGGTAAAAGCTCAGCCAAGAATCTGCCTTTTTTTTTTTTTTTTTTTTTGCCTCTTAAGGGCATAGAAAGGGTAAACTCTTTAAATAGCCTCAGAAACTAGACACATTCTGTAGTTACTTATCTGAAAACTCTGTTACCTTGTGTTTAGAGTTAATGTCTGTTGTGTGTTGGGTTCTGAGGTTCTCACTTTGTTTTTACCGCTCCCCTAAACTTTCAAAGCACCAAGCCAAAGGATGGTGTTTACATCCACGACCATGAGAATGGAGCTGAGGATTCAAATGTTGCCTTGGAAAAGCTTCGAGATGTGATTGCTCAGTGTATTCTGCCCCAGGCTGGTAAAGGTCACACCATTTACTAATACTCTGTGCATGTATGCATGCACGTGTGTATGACAAAAGGAATGGCTTGATTTGCACTTGTCTGTTTTATCTTTGTGTTAGAAGAAAATGAATACATTATATAAGTTAGTCTATGTCTACTGGGCAATGGAAATTCAGAAATGTGGTAAGTTCTGTGTTTCTTACGGTTTCCTGTGGGCTTAATTGCCATTGTTAGGTGTAGCACGTAATTTTGTGTTATCTTAATTTAACAAGGAGGGCACAGAGTGAAAATGAAGAATGAAACTATAGAGAGGGTCAGGATTAGGTTGCAGGCTGTGAACATCATTTTTAGTCTTTAGAATGCAACACCACGTTTAGCTTGTGAGTGTAAAGAGAACGCTTAGTTCAGAACTAGCGCTTGACACAGGCAGCATGACTTACACATGGTTCCTGGGGGGTGAGAGCTTTCTTTCCATGTGTTCTCTCTCCACTCAAAGGGATTTAATGTGAGGAGCTGTTCTCAACTGACGAATGTTATGCTTCTTGGATTAAGCCAGAAAATGTCTTACTAGATTCCTTGGTTTTAAGAAAACTCAGGTAATAATGTCTCAGCCTTTTAAAGCAAAGAATGAGCTGAGGAGAAAGAATGTCCTCTTAGCCTTGTACTCCCTGCCTCTCTTGGTCTTAGGATGGCCAGGTATTTTTGCTCAATGACAGAGTCTGCTCAATCCTATTGCTCATCACCTAATACTAAAGGCTTTGGGGCTATTAGAGCTTTTATATGAGAATGTCAAAGTAGAAGAGTTCAGTGACCAGAAGTGGTTGATATATAATGTAGGGACTAGCAGTAAAGCCAGTGTCTGGTGAAGGTTTGCACATTTCGACATCATTTCTCAACTAGTTGGACATCATGTCCTTCCATCTCTGACACTAGAATCCCATGATGCTGCAGGAAAAATGCAACTTCCTCTTCATCCTTACCAATAGGAGAGAATGAAGATGAGAAGCTGAATGAAGTAATGCTGGAGGCCTGGAAGTATAACCGGGAATGCAAACTCCTAAGGGATACCCTGCAAAGCTTCAGCTGGAATGGTAGGGCCCTTACTCACTCATTTCCTCCTGAATACGGGGAACTGATTATCTTTTTTTTTTTTTTTTGGTTTTTCTCCGGTACGGGGAACCGAACTCACGACCTTGCGCATACCAGGCAGGCGCTTTTGCCACTGAGCTAAATCCCCAGGCCCGGAACTGATTATCTTTAGAATATGTAGAATTTCTTTGGGGCCCTAACCTAGGGCTGTTTTCAGATGAAGTGAAGTTGGAGAATGAGTGGAATATTGACAGCGGGTGATTAGCCCTACATTAACTGCCTGGGCATGTGTGGATATGTAGTCCTTTCACTTGTTTTCCAGAATTCAAATGAATTATGCACTGCAGATTCAATACTGGAGAGCCTCTCCTACCCACCACTTGAGTAAACAAATCCCAGCTCACAGAACTCTCCACATACCTGGGCTGTGTTCATCAGATCATTGAGGAACAGCACACACTGAAGGGGAGAAAAAAGACAAAGTACCAGGAAGTTCAGCCTGCTCATCTGCTAGCTAGAGAGGAGCCATTTCACTAAAGAGTAGGAAGTTTGCCAGATCTGCTGCTGGTTGAAATTTTTCCCTAGGCAAACAAGTGGGGAGATACATTTCCTTTTTTTCCTTTAAATTAGCATTTTTAAACTGATTTTTATATAGTAAGTCCTTGATCTATGAACATTGGAGTTATGAACTATCACAGATACAAGTGGGCCTTGTATTACAAACGTTTGTAAAGGTGAACAAATCATGGAATTAGCTCACATCTGTTGGACATTGTCACAGTTGTGCTACCCTGTACTTACTGTACAGTGTAATAGTGTATAGTAGTACAGTGCTCAGTCAGAGCCCAGGATGTCTAAAAGCAAGAGAAAAAGCAGTGGTGATGTAGAGGGGACTTCTAGGAAGCATAGAGCAATAGACATTGTGTATTTGTGTCAAAGGTGTATAAAACTTGCTTTGTCGGATTTACTTGTGAATGTTCTCCCAGAACGGAACTCGTTTATAAGTCAGGGACTTACTGTATTGTCATTCCAGCTTAGTACATTACATGTGATAAACTCTGGAGATGTTCAGGGAAGGGAGCAAACTCTGATTTCATTACTGAATTTGTTTCTTGTATGTGCTTTTGGAGAAAGTGGGGTGGGGGTTACCGTGTCCATTCCCTTGCTTGGAAGAGATTAACTTCCCTGGCAATTTTTTTTTTTTTTTTTTTTTTTTAGTTTGAGATATATCAGCAATCTAAAAAAGTGATCACATGAATTGTGTACTTTAACTGAATTTTCACAAAGTGAACACTCCCCTGAAACCAGCATCTAGCTTATATAGTAAAACATATGCTGTCTTCCAAGTCATTTCATTCTCTTTCTACTCAAGGATAGTCACAATCCTGATTTCTAGCACTATAGATAGTTTTGCCTAGTTGTGTATTTTATGTAAACAGAATCAGACAAGTCTTTTTGCATCTGGCTGCTTTTAGCCAATATTCTGTTTCTGAGTTCTATCCGTACTACTTTGTGTAGCAGATGATTTCTTCTCATTATATGCATATACTATATTTATCCATTTTACTGTGGAATGGATATTTGGATTGTTTCTAGGTTTTATTAATTAAGAAAAAGGCTGCTGTAAACATCTTGTCTATGCTTTTTGATTAACAATTTGTTTCTGTCACATAGCTAAATTAGAATTGCTAATCCATGAAGGTATTCATCTGTTAGGCTTTACTAGGCAATGCCACCAGTTTTTTTTTAAAGTGGTTGTATGAATTAATGAAGTCCCACCAGCAGTGTTTGAGGGAACTAATTATTGTATACCCATACCAACTCTTGCTATTGTCTAACTCTTCTTGTTAGTATGCAGTGGTGGTATTTATTGACCATTTAGATTTCCTCTTTTGTGAGTGCCTATTCAAGTCTTTTTCCCCATTGAGTGCAGCTTTCTTATAGATGTGTAGGAATTCTTTATATATTTTGGGTATGTGTCCTTTATCAGACATACATACATCTTTGTGATTTAGTTTTATGTTGTTGTAGTGAATTTTGGGCTTTTATACCAGGTTAACAGAACAGCTTAATGGCTGTCTGAAAAATAGGAGATCTAACTTGCTTCTGGTCAGTTTTGGGGGTGGTTCCTGCATTGGTTAGAGTGAGTTTGAGACTGGTCAGGTGACCTTATTAGGTTCCTGTCCAAAGGCAACACCTCTCAAACTTTGAGAACTGACCTTGTTTTTTTCTTGAGTTTCAGGTCGTGGATTCACAGACAAAGTAGATCGACTAAAACTGGCAGAAATTGTGAAGCAGGTGATAGAAGAGCAAACCACTTCCCATGAATCCCAATAATGACAACTTCAAACTTTTTTTTAACGATTTGAAAAAAATATTGCTTAATGTGTAAAGTAATTTTTATGTAAATTAATAAATCATAATTTAATTTCCACATTGTTTAAAGTTGCTATATAGATTTAGGTACAGGACGTACCAATAGCATAATTATTGTTTTTAAGAAAAGCTCAATTTGTAGAGACATACTATCACTTTAGGACTGTTAATCTTATACGACGATAGATGGTATTGTCAAACAAGAGTGATTTATTTGTAATAAAGTATTAAAAAATTTGCCAGAGGTAGATACAGGACCAACTACACTGACCTTTCTGCTTATGAACAGTGAAATCAAATACTGTGGAATCTGGTTTCGGTTGCTCTTGTGTATTTACTCACTACTTCATTGGTAGATTAGTTCTGTTGCCAAGAAATTGTTGTGTATCCATCATTGGAGACGACCTGCTGGAATTTGCAGGGTACACACTTGGGGGCCTAAGGAGCCAGTTATCATAATAAAAGAGACAGGGAGCTGTGTGGTCATTTTTCTTGCACTTAATTCCCCAGAGAAAAGTGACAACATTTTCTTTTTATCATATTTATTAAAAGGGTATTGATGTATTTCTTACATCTAATGAGATTCACTTCTGGGTTTATTCTTTACAGGTTTAGGGAGAGCTTCCCTGTCCCCTTAGTGGACCTAAGGTCCCACTTGTTCTCTCCCTTCCCCCTTATCCCTCACTTGCTATATCACTTATTTTTCTTTCTCCTCTGCTTCACTTTTTGGGGTGCCCTTCCTGAGAAAGTTATATATAACAGAAACTGTACTATTAGACTAGCATATAAAGATACATAGTATTTTTAGCTGCTCTTTTTCTCTATTATGTTTCTTCCTGAATTTCTTACTGGCATCCCCTGGTCTGTATTTATTTTCTTCAGTACCCTTCATTTTTAGAAAGCATGGTTCTGGCCCAGAATATGGCTGTTTGACTGAAAAATTCTAGTTTTCTGTTGTACATATGGATGCAACTCTTTATTTTTAAGCAGTATTTGGTGGGTACCTATGTTGATAGGTAGAAGAGCTAACAGGCAAACTTCAGTTTATGCACAGGGTGGCAGTATAAGTAGTCTGAGTTACTCAGTTTTATTCCATCACATTCTCTTTAGTCAAAGTTGATCCCAAAGAATTCACTCCTTTTGTAATCCCTCCATTTTGCTGAGTATGTCTTCAGGGTGACATTTTGTTAGTATGTCCCACATATATGAGACTGACTGTGGGAACATAAATGAGAACACATGGTGTCGATGGGCAGGGTGGTGCACGTCTGTAATCCCAGCACTCAGGAAGCTGAGACCAGGGGATCGCCAGGAGTTCGAAGCCAGCCTGGGCTACATAGTATGTTCAAGGCCAGACTGAACTGTGTCACAGGACCCTGTCTCAAAAAATAAAACAAAAACAAAAACCAGAAAAGAACAAACATAGTGTCTTTTAAGAATTACATTATTACACTGATGCCTTTTTATCTTGCAGAATATGTAATTCAAGGTATTTTTTTGAAGGAGGTTCACCAATCTTAGGTGACTGATAGCTGTTACAAGGGGAAACACTGCTAGAAGAATGGGTAGCAAAATCTGAGTTAGGCAGTAAAGAAAAAATTCTTTTCCATTTACCAACCAGAAAACTTAGCTGAATTGATTTAAGAGCCTAGTCAGCTTTTCAGTAAAATCATTTTTTGCAGTCATGGAAAGCTGCATTTGTTTCTGTAATGTCTTAACATCTGTAGTGTTCCTATCTTAGGACAGAGGTTCAAGATTCCATTGGGGAAAGAAGGCAATAAGTATATCTGTTACTTTTTAGAGAACCTGGCAGCATACAGTGTACAATTAACTTACCAAATTTATCATTTAGGTATATTCTAAAGGCTTAGATGATTGTCTCCCCCCCACCCCCTTTGGTTTTTTTTTCTGGTACCGGGAATTGAACTCACGACCTTGTGCTCGCCAGGCAGGCACTGTGTCACTGAGCTAAATCCCCAGCCCCAGATGATTGTCTTTGGTGTGATGAATTTTAGGCATAATGTAAAAGAGTTTACAAAATAATGCTTCCTTTTGAGCATCAGTTGCCCATGTTGCACTCACTTCAGGCTGAATTCATCTGGCCTCCAAAATGAGAGCTATGTGCTTCCAGCATAGTGCTGTGAAAACTCTGGAGGGTGCCCCAGCTGTTGTAACTCAAAAATGGGACCTGTCTTGTAGAGATCCTTCAAAACAGTAGCTCCCAACAAGCACTATTGTCTTCAAAGTATGGTTTTGTTTGTATATTCCTAGGCTAATAGTAAATTTTTCTTTAACATATGAGTCAAGTTTGCCAATAATGCAAAAGTCACACATAACTAGAAATGAAATTATGTCTTATTGTCAGGTGTGGTGGTACACACCTATAATCCCAGCACTTGGGAGGCTGAAGCAGGAGGATCGTTGGGAGTTTGAGACCAGCCTGGGCTACAAAGTGAGCTTGAGGCCAGCCTGAACTGCATAGCAAGAATCTGTCTCAAAAAGACAAAAAACAAGAAAAAGAACTTCTTACGTTTTATAGCCTGTCTCTCTAACCCCTATACTTGTAGAAACACTGCAGGAATAGTTCTTACAGTAGTAGGTTTCAACCTCCAGTTTCCTGATGATTCAACCTGCTTATTAAAACTATTACTAGTCCTGAAGTACTTTTACATTATCCACAGTTATATGACTGCTTAATGTAGAACAACATATGTCTTTTTGACTGTTAGATTGTATGACTATGGGGAATGCCTGTCAGAAGTTTATGTTTTGAAATACACAGAGGAGGAATTGCTTTTCAAGAGAGTTTATATTGCTTGTATTTTTTTGTTTGTTTGTTTGTTTTTTGCGACAGGGTCTTGCCATGTAGTTCAGGCTGGCCTTGAACTTACATACTGTGTAGCCCATAGTACATACTATGTAGCATAGATAGCTGATAGCTGTTACATACTGTAGTTTAGATACACAGTATGTCCATACTGTCTAGCCTTGAACTTGCAGTGATCCTTCTGCCTCTGCCTCCCGAGTGGTGGGATTATAGGCATGCACTACCATGCCCAGCCTTGTAACTTGTATTCATATAAGAAAGAACAAGTAGAAGTTGAATAGTAGGTACTGCTGATCAAAGAAATCAAAAGATTTAAGTCATATCTTGTGTGTCAGTGTATTTACCAAAGAAAATGTGTTTCAACTTAAGAATTGGAAAATTGGATATTTTAATTATATATTTTTAATTTATTTTTTATATATATTTTTTAATTTAAAAAGAGTGTTCTCCCATTATTGATTCTTGATTTTTGTTGTTGTTCCACTACTATTTTTGCCCTACCTGTTTTGGTTAGACACAGGGAAATACCTGATAATTCCCATAATATATAAAGAGGTTTGCTCTTACATAAGCTACAAAACGAAAATAAGTCCAGCTGGAAATCATTTCACCATTATTGTTATAAATTTTTAAATGGGTTTGTGATGACAGTATGAATTTGTTTGCTAGATGTTAATGAAATATTTTACTATTTGTACCAGAAATTAAGTATTATTATTTGAGGATAAATGGTGCATCGTATGGTACCATATGATTTCTTTCTGAATCAGGGCATTTCTCCATTTTCAGGTATTACCACCCTGTATTTTAAAAGTTTTACACTGTAAATATTTGACTTAAGATAAAATTATTTTTATGTAAAAGATGTAGACTCTTATTTTAGTGAATCTTAGAATGCACAGGAGGATGAATAAGTGGGCAGGTAATTGGTAGACAGAGCTTTTTTCTTTTAAGTTTATAATGCTAAACACAGCCAAGGAAATTAACATCAAAAACCAAACCCAAGGACTTCCAGACATAAAAATAAAATAAACTAGATATGGTAGTACATGGCTGTAATGCCAGGACGCAGGAGGCTGAGGCAGGATCGTCATGAGTTAGGCCAGCCTGGCCTGTATAGTGAATTCAAAAGCTAGCCTGAACTACATAGTGAGACCCTTTAAAAAAAAAAAAAAAAAAAATTTAGAGTTCTTACATAGCTCATTTTTATGGTAACTGATTAATCAGTTTGTTTTTATCCTACATTTTGTTATTACATTAAAGCAGCTGGGAAGAACTGACATTCAATCCCCTATATTTCCACACTGAAATAAGATAATTTCATTTAGCATTTATGTCTGTTCCTTAGGAAAAGTATGTGGTAGACAAGAATTGTATTTATAGGCAGATAAGATGTCTAAACTCATTTCTTAAGAACAAAGGATAATGGGGACATCCAAAGGCCATCCACATACAGTTTTTCTTGAATTAAAGGGAAAAAAGTTCATGGACAAAGTGGGGTTGAACTGAGAAAGAGTACCCTGAATACTATGGAAAGGAAGAAAAAACAGTGGCAACAGAGAACTCTGCCTACTTCAGAGATCTCTAGAGAACCCCTCTCCCCCTTTCCTGGGCCCCCTTCAGAATGCTGGGTTTCAAAGAATGAGCATATTAACGAATATCAGGAGTCCTATGGCCTGGGGAGAATATAGGATAATTTGCCTGCATTAAACTACTGGCTGACTCACTACAGGTCTTCTATTTGGGTCATCTCTGCATGACCATCAAATTTAGCCAAGGAACATTACAGTTGTGGCTGTTGAAAGAAATTCCTATACTATCAAAGGCCAAGAGAGAAGCAGGAATAGAAAGAAACAGCCTGAAGGCCATAAGGTTCAGAGTTCGACAGCATCTACCCAGGAAGGAACCAACGTAGATCTGGAGATAATAATACCCACCTCTCTAAAGGTGGCTTGTCAGAGAGCAGCTGCTGATAGGCATAGACCTGTGTTACCAGCTAATTTATTAGGACCATGTTGGTGGCAGCATCACTGGGAGACTCTACCACCATCCTGTCTTTACAGAAAAAGCAAGTGGCCTTGGGGGAAGCTAAGATAAAGTTTCAGATTTGTGATGCCCAAAAGTGGAAAAGGAGGCTCAGGCCAGTACCAAGACATTCATATTCTGTGTTAAGGATCTCCATGCTGTTGGTAATGCTTATACCTAGCATGTACTGCTTAGGACCAGGACATTACTCTTCCTATGAAATAGTCATCCCCAAGAGTCTGGCAGTCAAGGGAAGTGAAGCCCCAGGGGAAAAGATATCTTATACGCTACTTATGCAAGGCCAACAGCAGCTGGTTCACCTGAAGGTAAAGAGAGACTATTTTGTGGAGGATTTTCCAGTCTATAGTTACCACAATGGCATCCTGGAGCAAGAAACACCTTCCATCTCACATGACTGTCACTATGAAGGCCACATAGAAGGAGCGCCGGGTTCATTTGTGTCTGTCAATACCTGTTCAGGTCTCAGGGGCATCCTGATCAAGGAGAACACATCCTATGGCATTGAGCCCATACTCTCTTCCAAACAGTTCGAACATGCGTTATACACCACGGCACATCAAGCTCGAGTCTCCTGCAGTGTCTCTGCCAGAGACAGTCAAGCGGTGTCCACCAGCTGGCAGCAGGGGAGCAGGAAGCCTCCCAATCTACAGGCCCTGTCCTACTTGTGGTCACACACCAAGTATGTGGAGATGTTTGTTGTGGTCAACAACCAGCGGTTCCAGATGTGGGGCAGCGATGTCAAGGAGACAGTGCAGAGAGTGGTGGGCATCGTTGCTCTGGCCAACACCTTTACTCGAGGAATAAACACAGAGGTGGTGCTGGCTGGGATGGAGATTTGGACCGAGGGGGATCTGACAGAGGTCCCAGTGGACCTGCGAGTTACACTCAGGAACTTCAATCGCTGGAGACAAGAGGAGCTCTTCCCTCGTGTGAGGCACGATGTCGCCCACTTGATCGTTGGGCATCCTCCTGGCGAGACCTCGGGTCGGGCATTTCTCAACGGAGCCTGTTCAAGTGGTTTTGCAGCGGCTGTCGAAGCTTTCCATCACGAAGATGCCCTCCTGTCTGCAGCGCTCATGGCCCACCAGCTTGGGCACAACCTGGGCATTCAGCATGACCACTCAGACTGCGTTTGTAGAGATAAGCACTTCTGCCTCATGCAGGAAAGCATCACTAAAGAAAGTGGCTTTAGCAACTGTAGCTCTGACTACTTCTACCATTTCCTTCACGAACACAGAGGGGCCTGCCTATTCAACAAGCGGAGGCACACAGGCCGCAGGCACAGGGACGCCAGTTGTGGGGATGGTGTGGTGGAGGCTCCGGAGCAGTGTGACTGCGGTTCTGCTTGTGACAGTGACCCATGCTGTGAACCAACGTGTACACTGAAGGAGCATGCGCAGTGTGGTCATGGACTCTGCTGCGACAACTGCAATTTCAAAAAGGAGGGGGATGTATGTCGTTTTGCTTATGACGACTGTGACCTCTCAGAATACTGTGACGGTACTTCTGCAGAATGTCCTGAAGACAGCTACAAGGAAAACGGCACACTGTGTAATGGAATTTACTATTGCTTTGGGGGTCAGTGTAAGGACCCTGACAGACAGTGCATGCGTCTGTTTGGGTATCCTGCAAGATCTGCCCCAGAGGGCTGTTACATGTCAATGAACAGTGAAGGGAACCGCTTTGGAAACTGTGGCCGTCCCACTAAGGCTAATCCAGAATATATTCGTTGTGGCAGGAATAATACATTTTGTGGAAAACTTGTATGTACAGACGTTGCAGTCCTGCCACCAATGTTGTCGGATTACACACTGATCCAGGTTGCTCACGGGGATGATTGGTGCTGGAGCATGGATTCCCGTAACGCCACCGAATATGATGTGGAAGATGGTAGTTACTGTGCCCCAGATAAATTATGTATTGATTACGTCTGCACTGAATATTCTGTGTCCCACCAATACTGCGATTCAGGGTCACTGTGTCATGGGAATGGCATATGCAACAATCTAAGACACTGCCATTGTGATGACGGCTTTGCACCCCCTGATTGTATATATCCAGGATATGGGGGTAGTGTGGACAGTGGGCCTATTGTTAAGTTACCTGAGAAAAAATTTAGTACAAATATCACTGATTTTACTATTAGGGGTAGAGACATGAGCTTGAAAGTGATAGTACTCGTAGTCCCTTCATTTTTTTTCTTTGTACTGTGTTCTCTACTTGTACTTATTTATCTCTGGTCTGAAGTAGAGGATGTGCTGGCATCAGAGAAGTCAGAGGAATCATTCAGTTCTTCTGAGATCCCATCAGAGGTGTCAGCTGAGGAGGACCTGCTACCTAAGGAGGCCCCGCCACCCAAAGAGGCCCCGCCACCCAAAGAGGCCCCGCCACCCAAGGAGGCCCTGCCACCCGAGGCGGCCCCGCCACTTGAAGAGGCCCTGCCACCTGAGGCAGCCCCTCCACCCAAGGCCCCCCCCTCACTACCACCCGAGGCCCCACCACCACCTGAGGCAGCATCTCCACCCACATAGGCTCTGCCTAAAGCTCCAGAAAAGCCTGCACCAAAAGAGGAAGCAAGTGAAGAGCATGAAAACCCCGAGGCAGAATTTTAATGGAGGATGAAGCCAAATACATTAAAATGCCTTAGCGAACCAATGTGAAGTAACAATTTATATCTGCAGTGGCTTTGACTGGACTGTATTACTAATGGAAAGGAGGAGATTATCCCATTTTTAATATACATTGAAATATAGATAACAATATAAATTGGTTATATTTTCATATATGAAATGGTGCATAAAATATTCTGTATTTTTGCTGTTTTACTTTTCATGAAACAATTTTATTTAAACTCTTTTCATGGATCATTGCTGTCAATGTTTTGTATCAATTTTCAAATTGATGTTCAGAGTATGTTATCATCCATCTGCATTGTCTGATACAATGTATTATCTGTACTGACATTGCTGTAACTGAGTTACTCATCCCAATTATAACTGCTGTTTTGTTACCAGTGTTACTTGTGATTTGAATACACTATTTGCTCTTGTCAGTTTCTGTTCATGAAATGTTAATTTTTAAACAATAAAAGGTTTTTCTTCCAGGTGAGGCAACATTCCAGACTCCAAGTAGCCTAGTACTTGAGGTTCTTTTGTTTTGGGGGTTCTCTGTAAGGGGTTAGATGTGATCCATGGATATCTAACATACCAGTCTGAGTGCCTAAGAGAGGGCAGCTAAACTGAGCAGAAAACCCCTGGCACAGTACTGAGTTCATGTTTGAGGTATTCATTTTATTTTTGCTCTTTTCTATTGAATTTGGTATTTGGTATACTAATATCCATAGAATGCCTCTATAGGTAACAAAACTTTGATGTAGTGGTTACTAAAGCAAGCACAGAGCAAGTACTCTCTTAGAATATATTACTCTTTCTGTGCCAGGCACTATGTTAAATATTTTACATTTAAAATCTTAATCTTCCCAAGTTCTCTGTGAAAACTCCATCTTGAGATGGAGAAAAGATAGGCAAAAGAGCCAGCTGGGTGTGTGGCGCACGCCTGTAATCCCAGCACTCAAGAGGCTGAAGCAGAAGGGTCACTGTGAGTTCACGGCCAGCCGGGGCTACAAAGTGAGCTTGAGACCAACCTGAACTGCATAGCGACACTCTGTCCCAAAAAGACAAAAAAAAAAAAGTTGTACTTATATATGTATTATAAAAGTTTAAAGACATAAAATGTAATTAGAAGTATAATATTATAATTTTATAGTATAAGTTGTGTATGTAGAAGGCAAAACTAAGAAATGTGAGCAGAGATGACTGTGATCTTGTCTTCTTTTTAAGTGTGATCTTGTCTTTTGTGGTAGCAATTTGCTCACATTTCTGCCAGCTCTTCCCACTTCCCACAGTTCCAGGAGTGTGGTTTCTAACAGGCCCCATCCCTGAAAACATCTGCACTCACTCTGGGGGAACTGGGTCTCTTCTTCAACCCACAGCCTTGAGACTGTGGCTGCTGATGCCAAAAGCCCAGCATTACCTGTGCCTGTCCCTTGGAACTGGGGAAAGTCTCAAGTGTGTCCCTTGGAGGGAAGTGTCAAGTGTGTCTGTCACACAGCTCCAAACACAGCGCTATCAGGGACTCAAACCCCAGCATGACCTGTGATCACTTGGCAGAACTAGGGAGTCCTCTCCTTCGTCCTCAGCCTTCAGACTGAAGCTACTCATCCGAAGAGCCCTGGCATCCCCCAAGCATGGGCCTACAGAACCAAGGGAAGGTCCCATCTGCATCCTGCAGCTCCAGGATTATCACTCCCAGTGCCATAAGCCTTGGTCCCATCAGAACTTGCCCTATGTGACAGTGACATTCTTATCCATGTCCTGTAAGTCCAGGATTGCAGATAACAAAGCCAAAAGCCGTTACCACATGCACTTGACCAGCAAGGTGTAGGGGAAATCTCCATGTGATACACCTCCAGGGGTGTAAATACCAGTGCCATAAGCCCAAATGTTAACTGCAAACCAGGAGGACCTAAGGAAGATCTTCATGGCCTACAGACTTGGGACCATAGATGCTCTGGTTGTTATTTGTGCTTGTCCCTTGGGAGGTAAAGAAGTTACCAGATGGGTTCCATCGGTCCAGGAAAGTGGTGAACAGCACCACAAGCCCCACCACCACCACAATCACCTCATGGGACCTAGGGAAAGTCTCCTTTGTGTTCCACAACCTCGAGTCCATGGTTACTCGTGCCATAGAACCTGGTATCACTTGTGCTCATCCATCAAAACCTGGAGAAGATCCCATCCCCTACTGGGGCTCCAGAACTATGGCTGCTAGTGTAACAGGCCTAGACACCTTCTGCATTCATTTTTAGTGCCCCAAGGAAGGTCTCCTTCACATTCTATGGATTAAAGTCTGCGGCTATTGATGGCACAACCCTTTGTATTAGCTGTGCTTGTTCCAACGGACCTGGGACAGTTCTCTCCACATCCTGCACCATCAAGATTGTGGCAGCTGTGACCATAAGTCCTAGTTGTATCAGTGCCCCACTATATGGAGCCTAAGGACAGGCAATTTTGGAAGGCTCTGTTTACTCCAAAGTCGTATAACCATATTCAAGAACTGCTGCAGTCTACACTATTGAGACATTCACTGATATTGCTGACATCAATCAAAGCCAAAGAAATCCTACAGAGGCTATATTTTTGAGCTTCTCTATAACTGAAGCCAAAGTGCCTACCTTACAGAACCTAATATCTCTTCTACTTAAAAGTATCTTTCCTTACAATAGTTACTCCATAAAATTGGAACAGACAACCATTACAGTACTTGTGCAGATATCAATGTAGGGACACAAGAAATGGGAAAGAAAATGTGAAACAATAATGTGAAACAGTATTGTGAAACAATGAAATAGGTCAGACTTTAAAGGAAATCTATGAAATCCCTGAAGAATTCAAAATAATCATTGTTAGAAAACTCAGTGAGATGCAAGGGTATACAAATAAACAATGCAAAGAAATAAGAATACCAATTCAGGGTATGTATTAGTAACTGACACAACAGACAGACCCATAAGAAAGAACCAAGCTGGGTGCAGTGCTGTATGCCTGTAATCTCAGCTACTTGAGAGGCTGAGCCAGGAGGATTGCAAGTTTGAGGCCAGCCTGGATAGCATACTTAGACCTGTCTCAAAATAAAATAAAAGAAGCTAAAGATATAATTCAGTGACAGAGCAGTTGCTTAGCATGCTTGCTGAGGCACTGGGTTCAATCCTTCCTACTGATAAAAAGATCATGAATCTTGAAGCTGTGGTTTTGAGCCCCAAATGACCTCTCCCTGAATGAGCACTTCAATAACACTTTTTTTTTTGAGACAAGGTCTCAGTATGCAGTTCAGACTGGCCTTGAGCTCACTTTGTAGCCCAGGCTGGCCTTGAACTCGCAACAGTCCTCCTGCCTCAGCCTCCCGAGTGCTGGGATTACAGGTGTGCATTACCACACCCAGTTCTTTAATACCAGACTATAAAGAAGAATGAATTTGAGGACAGGTCTTTTGAATTAATCCAGTCACACATAAACAAAAGTGAGAAGAAAAGGAAGGAGGACAGATGGAGGAAGAGGAGGAGGGAAAAGGAAGAGAAGGGAAGGAGGAAAGGAAAAGAAAAACAGGGAGGCAGAAGGAAGGGGAGAAGAAAGAAGATGAATGAGGAAAGCCTATGAGACTCACAGGCTACTGTCAAATGCTTTTTGGGAATTTGAGAAAGTGAAGAAAAGGATAAGGGCGCTGAAAACCTGGTTCATGAAAAAATAGCCACAAATCTCTTGAATCTTCAAAGTCATATAGATTTGTAGATACAAAAGGCTCAAAAGATCCTAGCTAATCTAGCATAGACAAGGTACTGGGTACAATATCTAGCACCCCCCCCCAAAAAAATCCCAAATAGATTCAACCAAAATAAACCATTACCAAGTATATTATTTTTCAAATGTCAAAAGTACAAGATGGAATTCTAAAACTAGCACACACACACACACACACACACACACACACACACACAAAGTGTCAAGTCAAATATAAAGGAATGTCCATTTAGACTTACCGCAGAAACCATACAGGCCAGAAGAGAACAGAATGATATATTCAAAGTCCTGACAGAGGGTCAGGCATAGTGGCGCACGTCTGTAATCCCAGCACTTGAGAGGCCTAGGCTGGAGAATCACTGTGAGTTTGAGGCCAACCTGAACTACATAGTGAAACAATGTCTCAAAAAGAAAAAAAAAAAGTCCTGACACAAAAAGAAAACTATCAACCATGAGTACTGTACTCAGAAAAATTATTCTTCAAATATTAGAATCAGAAACTGAGTGAATTCGTTACCACCAGGCCAGTCCTACAAAGAACAGTTAAAGCAGTACTGCATCAGCTATGGAAGGGTTATCCAACATCATGAAAACACATAAATGTACACAAAACAAATCTAAATTAGTAAAAGGAAATAATAAAGATCAAAAGATCAAAGTAGAAAGCAATAAAATAAAAAAGAAAATAAAAAAAATCAATGAAACAGTTGGTTTTTTTAAAGAATATACAAAATTGGCAAACTCTTAGCTAATAAAGAAAAAAGAAGACCCAAATAAATAAACAGATGAAAAAAGATATACACAGTTGATACCACAAAAATACACGAATCATAAAAACTATTACAGCCAGATTTGGTGGCACATGCCTGTAATCCCAGCACTTGGGAGGCTGAGGCAGGAAGATTGACATGAGTTCAAGGTCAGTTTGGGCTATACAGTGAGTTCAAGGCCAGCCTGAACTACACTGTAATCAATCAATCAGTCAATCAATCAATCAAATTGCAATCAAAAAATAAAAATACACACAAGATAGCTAAGATAATTATATTATAATTTCTATTGGCTTATTGAAAGAACAGTTAATGATTAATTGTTTGATCAATCTTGCATACCTATATCTGGTAATCTGAGCAACTTATTAAAGATAACAATAAGTAGGGACTGGGGATTTAGCTCAGCGGCAAAAGCGCCTGCCTGGCAAGCGCAAGGTC